TTTAGCGTTATTATGACAACTCTGGATACTCTTGGTCCGCAGAGATGTGTGCAATCGCCATTTGAGTCTTGATGATTCTTACCTGAGTGACTACCTAGATTATGAGCCAGCACGTAAGACAGTCCCTCAGTTTAATTTTGCTGGATGTCTCCCTTGCTCACATCCTGGGGTTCAGGGCAGAATGGGAAAGCTGTCCCTGACCCGTGTGCCCCAGGTGAGGGGGTGCAGTGTGCGGTTTGCCACAGCTGCTGGTGACTGCAATGCCAGGGGAAAGCGTTACCCCTGCCTTGTGCCAGGCTAGTGGCCAAGCGACCCTGTGAGTTGGCACAGCCCGGGCTCCCACCTCCCTCTCGCTGCAGGACCCACCAACGTGTGGCTTCCAGTGCTGCTTCCTTCTGTGCTACAGTCCGCCTCCAAAAATCCAACAGGAACCTCGAGTCTAGACCACCTCCCATTCTCGACATCCTTATAACGTTCCCTGTCAGTCATTCACTTCTTCACAGGACTTGACCCCTGGCTTTTCAACTCTCTCTTCATGGGAAGGTTCCTCCCACATCTTTAACCATCTTGCTGGTCTGAGACCCTGTGAAACCACTGTGCTAGTCATCAGCTCTTAAAAACCTGGGGGAGTGTGAAGCTGAAGGGCAGCTGAACGTATTGCCTTGATGGAGTCAGAATGGTTTTATATGTAGGAGTAACAATTTTGTTCTAAATTCACAGCAGCACAAGGGCTGGATAAAAAAAAGTGACAAACGCCGGCCTGTTTGTGTCTTTGATCCTCAGCACTAACTAGAAAATGTATCAGATATTCTGGCAGCGCGCTGGTTGCAAACAACACTAGGATACATCACATGCAGGTATTTAGTTTTGCCCAGCTCCCCTTTCCAGTGCTCCGTTGAGACTGCAGCCTGTCAGCAGTGAGGGCAGGTGAGGAAAGAAACTCTCCCTGCTCCAGGTGAGGAACAAGCTCAAACCCCTGCGGGTGCTATGCCAGGGGCTGGGTTAGCAGATGTCCCCCTATCCCAGCACCATGGGGACAAGCCAGAACAGCCACAGGAAAATGCTGGTTTACAAAATCTGTCGGATAAACAACTAACGCTGTTGTTGTTGTTTTACTAACGACTGTGTTTGCATGCGATGCTAGCACAGCCTTTGAGACACCGCAGCTCCAAAATGCTACTGGTGAGTGGTGATATAGGAACCAGGTTTTTTTGATACCGCCGTGTTTCTTTCTAGCTCAACAATTATGCTGCGTGTGTTGTTGGGGGGAATTGTCAGCAATAATAGGAGCATGCAAGGAGCAGCATCCAGTCTGTTTACATCCAGCGAGTGCTCGAAGCAGTGGGGAAATGCCATGCCCTCTCTTTCATCCTCCCACTTCAAGCACTGGGCAGCTCTGTACTTTCTGTGCAGCTCAGGCTTTTTTTGAAATGTGTTCTGCAGGTTTTGACAGTGGAGGGAAGAAATGGGTGGATACCAGCAAGCGTGCCTTGAATGCCGTCCAGTGCCCTAAGCACAGTTCATTTGTTTTATTCTAGTATGATAGCATTTTTTAATTACAGCACTTGCCTCTTGAAGAACTGGAGCAATCATAAAAGCAGGTCCCCAAAGGAAGGCTGTATCTATTTCATGAGTCTGCTGATCAGAGGTAAATCTAGCATTGAAAGTGAGAAATGCAATATTAATTCATGTCTTCATAGAACTTATAGAATATTTTGATATTACTCACTGCTACAAGAATCTGCTTCTTCAATATATCCTTCAAGAGCGCTAAATATTTTTCCCGGCTGAAGGAATGTTGAAAGCAGGATAGAGATTAAGAAATTCAATAAGGTGACAAGTACCACGCTCTATCTGACCAGGACCCTCACAAAATTAGCTGATTTCTTTGCAAAATAGCAATGGTGGGGACAATGGCTAACTTTGTTGCTGTCCAGCAGTTGAAGACCTCATTCAGGGCACAGAAAAACATGATTCTGTTCTCACCTTGGCCCTGAAGGGCTAAACTCCATACCCTTCCCTTTCTCTGGTAGCGTCAGTTCAAAGAAGGGCTGGCACAGGGCTGGCAAGTGGCCATGTGGGCCACATTAGAGGAGCAGGAGGAGAGCAGGGCTGCAGAAGTGTAATGCAATGCTCCTGTGTAAAACCTGGAGAGCCTCGGATTCAGCTTCCAGCTTCCTGCAACATTGGCAGATTCACATTCAAAATCCTTCACAAGACAAACACAGAGGAATCTTCCCAAGCGTTGTGCTTTGTAGCTGCCTTTCCTGAACGGCATCTATGGATTTCAGTCCGTTTTATTCAACACATTAAGATCATTTTGGATTCTCATCATGTTCTTCAGAGTGTTTACAAGCCCCTTCGCCTGGGGTCATCTGCCAGCTTGGGAACTGCTCTCTATTCCATCATGCGTTACTTAATGAAAATATTGAATAGCAGCAGACAAAAAGGATGGATCCTCCCTCCTCTCAGGAACTTCTATTCATCTGGCATAAAATCCTTGAGAATTTAAATAGGCTTTCAATCATTAGCGAACCCATCTCCTAGGAAATTCATCTGGATCACAATTTCCTAGCCAGCTTATTAGCATCACATGGGGCAGTGCCACAAGGCCTCCTAAAATCAAGTTTTATTATACCTCCCTGCTTTCCTCCTGCTCCTCCACCCCCTTTCCCATCCAATAGCCCCATGCCCTTGTCGAACAAGGAAATTAGGTTGTTTAGATATAATTTGTTTTTGACAAATTCACACTGGCTGTTTCATATTAACCTTTTATTCTCTAAGGAGATGCATATTATTTGTTTAATGATTTATTCTCGGTGTGTGTTTAAATGAGGCTGCTCTATACTTTGCAGGTGCCCTACTTTAAAGACAGGTTTCTGTTGCATGTTGGCTGGAGCAGAGCGCCTCTCCGACAGAGCCCTGAGGCTCACTTAGTGCTATGGCCAGTCCCGCTCTGCTGGGCATAGATGCTGCACCCAGGCCTGAGCAAGCCTAGGCTTACAGAAATTACCCCAACCGGGCAAAAGGAAAATATGACAATTAAACACAAAAAGGACATATTCAATGTTCTAATTTCTAAAATAATGCAAGTTTAGGGAAATAGATGGAACTCAGGATAAAAGGTACTTGAAGGCATGCTTCCAGCTCTGCCTGAAAGAAACCAGCAATTCTTCAGAGTTCCTTTTTCTAAAAAAAAAAAAAATATAGTAGCTCTTTCGGACATCATGATTTTGGGCATTATTGCATTTCAGCATAAGGCTTTTGTAAATACTTAAAGTGGGTTTTCTTGTTTGCTGAATTACCTGATCTTAAAGTTTTTGAAAAGTAATACATCAATTTTTCTTGCCATCTCAACAACTTTTCTGTATTTTTAATTTAGCTGTAATAAAATTATAAGATTGTTACAATATACTAGGTCATGGGAGATTTTGAGAGAACAAGCTGATGAAGAAATGTTGAGAAAAGTAAAGTTGAGCATCTCATTTGCACCTGGAAACAAGTATCTAGCTGTCTAATTAAACACTGTTTTCTCTTGTAATCATAGCAACCAGGAGGACAAATTCAACAAACAAAGGAACTTCCCCATTTTGAGAATATAAGCCATTAAGTTCGTCATATCTGTGATCTAAAAAAGATGCTTAATTTTATCTACGTGCTTTCTATGCCTCTCTTTTCTTATCTTTCCTCTGTTTGGCTATAAGCAGAGCTTTCCTTTCCAGGAGTACAGTGCGGATTGCCACCTCACGTGCATTTTGGATAGAGTCTCAATGAATGAATGCCTCAGCATGAGGCACCTAAAACACATCTAGAAATCTGCTGGGATGCAGTTATTATTTGTTGTTTGAAACCATCATCTAAATACTTGACATGAAATGAAAAATTTGAAGTGAAATGAAAGATTTGAAATGACCACGTGAAATAGCTATTGCTTGGGGACTCCCTGTCCACACAGAGACAATGACATTTGTGAAGTAATGTCAGCTCTTCCCAAAAACCTAATGCAGTTTTTTAGTTCTCCTTTCTAATCCTTATGAGAAAGAGAAATATCTGATGTAAAATTCCATCATCCATACCCCAAAAATTCTGTTTCATTTCTCTCTTTCTCTCAAACCCACATTTCTATTTCTACTAGCATCTAGGTCACTTTCTTTACTTGAGCTGACCCACTACAGCAACAACTATTAATTAGAAATAGTATGAAATGTTTATTAAGTAATAATAGTAACCATAATTAACTAACAACAGTAAGAAATATTTTTAAGCAATTTTAGGATCTAGCTACAGCAGCATCAGCGAGCGATGTAGCGCACTAGGATAGCATCTGGGTAATAAAACAGTCGGTGCTGATCTGATGTCTACACTACATGCATTTTAGAGATTTTACTTCCTAATAATTTTAATCTCGTCCCATTAATGGCTGGAGCACACCTTCTTCCTCAGTTTCTCCTGGCAGGATTTCAGCTTGTGCATCTGAGACTGCTCTACAATCTAAATCATAGCTTTGCAAAGTGAACATCAGGAAATTTGCTAATGTAGATGTGTCTATTAAATAGAGTACAAATGAAGCACGCTGGGGATGAAGAGAAACATAGCCTTGACATCACTGCAGTCATTCTGTATTAGCAGAGCTTAGGTAAAACTAATGCCAAAATTAACTCAATAATTTCAAATATTAACACAAATTTCATTAAGCAAAAATGTTAATACAAAATGTATGCTTGAAATAGCATAAAATCCCTTGTAAGAAATGAGCACCTATAAAGCTTCTCCTAAATGTTACACAGTTAAACAAGGTAGCTGAGTACGAAGGGGAAGGATGCTGCTTTTAAAATTAATCATTTAGCTATTATATTGAGTAGGCAAAATTGTAATATGGAATGGATATGCATGAAATCTATGTTCTGCACTTTAGTTTAATCTCAGTTTAATTTGAAAAAAAATGCCTTACCCTTTAACCAAAATGTACTTAATCCAAAAGGAAAAAGAACATTCAACAGTCAGATGTCCACGGCGTAGCCCATACCAGTGAGACTAAATTGTGCCAGAGCTTTGGGCAGTAGCCTTTCATATGCATTATTTGCACTCTTTTTGCACAAGTCTCTGCATAAAGCGTATCGAAATAGAATTTTTACCAAAGGCAGGTAAAATGTTATTTTAAAAATGCTCAATGGGAAACTAAGCCTCACTTTGATTCATGCTTCTTCCAAACAGAGAAAACGAACTATTCCAGAAATCTGAGGGTCGTATTTTCCAAGGGTTTTTTCAGCCTACAGTTATTAATTTTGTCTTTGCACCTGCTTCTACACTCAAACATCTCAATCTCTGTTTTCTCTATGCAATTTGTGGACACAGATGTAGGTTTCATACACAGCATGCAGATGCCAGTGCTAAATTGGAAAATGCAAATGCTGCGGAGGATTGGAAAATGGAGCCTGCTCTGTAAGAGGCCTTCTTGGTATTCAGGACCGGAATATAGATTTCATAGATTTAATTCCAATACAGAAAATACAGGTATGTGACTCCTAATTTTAAAATAAATAAGGATTGCATGTTTGCCTAAGAGAAGAAATTTTCAGAAATCTTATTACTTAGCTCTCTTTTCATGAGAAACAAATACAGGTTATATTTTAATGAAAGTTCATAGCATTTACTGAAAGTATATTCTGTACTGTATATAAATAATTTGATTAGAACTCATTGTAAAATTGTTTGTGTTAAGAAATACTATGCATAATTTTACGACCACTATTATCAAACAAGTATCAGCTAGTTTATGCACAGAATCTGAAATACTTTTGTGAGTAAAATATGACAAAAAAGAAAGACACTAAAAACTTACTCATGCATCAGTGATCGTGCCACTGTGTTTCCATGAACGTGAGACTCAAAGAATAAGGTGTATAAGTACGGTGGCAATGAGTGTCTGATCTGAAGCGCTTCTCGAGATATCTTCGCAAACTCTGCTCCGAACGCTGCTGGGTCTTGTTCCTGTTCAGGGAAAGCTTTGATTTGTATCGAGCATTATAAATATGCTCTGCAAATTCAACAAATGACCAGTGTGTGATCTAAGAAAAGCCATTTGCTGACATAATCCTACAAAGGTGAATGTTTACATAAGAAAAAATACTAATTGGCAAGCTGAAAGATGTAGGAAGAACCACGTCCACTATCACCAAACTAATGTTGGCATGGACCTTTTCAACTTGAGAAAATCCACTGAGCTTCACAAAGGCCAGGCCCCACTGCAGAGTGTATTAATCACCCGTAAGTGCCCTTGACATCGTTACCATGAGGGGAGTTGTGGATTCCCACCTGCACTCAGGAACAGACACCCTGTATCAAGAAATCATTTTGTCTTTGAGATCAAGCCCTCCAGGCCTGGGAAGAAGGGAGACTAATATTCTGCAAAGTAAAGGACAAAGCCTAATTATTTTGGTCAAGAACATAAAGACCAATCTATTTTAAAAGGAACAGTAAATTCTCAGCTCTCCTGAAGTCAATCAGAGTGACCAAAGTTGCTGATGCAGAAAACATTTTGTTGGTATTAAGAAACAACAGCTCGACTCCCCATCCACAGCCAGGCGCTTTGGGATGTAGCTGAGCACAAAGTGCCAACGAGCAGAGGCCAAAGCTCCGCAACACCAGAGTTAGTAAATCTAATTCTGCTCATTGGATCATTCTGATCTACTGTTAGGACAAATGTGGCTCTCCCCTACAACATGACACGGGGCGCACAGCCCAGGGCAGGGCGGATGCAGGAAAGTCCTGTATGTCCTTTAATTCCTCTTGTCTGAGCTTCTCCAACTCTAGTCAGCTATCAAGTCACATAGCTCCCCTCTGCCTTCAAAAAAATAATACTCAATTTTCTCATTAAAGTTGAAGAACGTGTGAGGAATTCCAAGGATAATGAAACATAAAAGGAATAGAAGTAACAAAGCTTTTTATATTATCTAGTGCTTTTCAGACAAGAAAAGTATTAATTAAATCATTCAACATCCCCAGTGGATTAGGCAAAGTGGATATTTAAGATTTTATTTTTAACATTAAACTTAATATTAATTAAACTCAATATTTAGTGTAAATACATTTATATCAGAATCAGTCATTGGTAACTTCCTGCTGGTTTTGAGCTCTAGAGCATCCACGTATTATTTCAAAAATTGTACTACATTCTTACTACTTTAATTCTAACACTGTACAAATATTGCCTAAATTCAGAAAAACAGTCAGAGTCCTTGGGGGAGTCACCCAAAACACCTTGTTCATTTCTTTCAGTGAACACAATGTTTTAAATGGAGGTAAGTGGTTCAATAGCCCAACTGTATCTTCTGTTACTTCTGTCATTCACTCAACACTGAGTTGCACCTCCCCTTAAGTAGACGAATTACTCTTTTCCTGCTTAGTTATGCTTATTAAATTGTGCATATGTGATTAATACCCACTCTCCCAGTCAGATCCCACTGCCGTGCCCAAAGGGCCAAGCGAACCTACATAGATAAGGCATCTCTAATTTTAGTGAACACAGTTAAATACAAAATATTTCTCAATGACAGCAGCTAACACCCCACAGACGTTTCTTCTCCAAGAGAAAGATACTAGCATATCTCAGGTATTATTGCAGACTTCAGGGTAAATTCTGATCCTCTTAATGCCAACGCTATAGCTTATTATTCATATATTTACCCATTTTCTGAATTTACATCATACTTTCGGGCAGAGAAAAAGGTCTTCTTGGGGAGAGTAAATGTTGCAACATCTTTGATAACTCAACTTCAAAGAAAAGTGAAAGTTAGCTAGTAAACTGAGCATTGCACAGATGAGTTTACAAAAGAAAAAAAAGTGCGTTATTGAACAAGCAGAACCATTTCCACATGGTCGCAGATAAACACGGTGTACTCAGGAAGGCTGCAAGACCTTCAAACTGTTCATTGTTAGAAACAACGGGACATTTCTTTCTGTCTGAGATGAGTCTGAAAATGACTTCATGGTAGGTTGAAGTCAAGGCATGGATTTGAACTGAGACTGCATTTTTTTCATCCATCTCCTGGGTTCAGTGGCTTTTTTCAGTTTTCACTTCTCCTTGGCTGACAAGGCTGGTGCTATTGCAAGCTGTCCTTGCTGTTCTCACAGGTTTGTCTCAGGTTTCTAACTGCGATGTTTGTCTGAAACCTGCTTTTAAATAGCAAAGATGGTGTATAATGCCATCTCTCCCCTTTCTTGTAATACATATGACAGTTACAGAAGTACTGAAACAAAAATTGAAGTGAGCAAGTGACTAAGAAGATGGGATGACTCTTACCAACAGCCTGGGCAGACCATTTTCTGTCATTCAAAATACGCAGCACATATTTCTACATGGCTTTCATATGTTAGAGACTATATGTTTTTCAGAGTTTCTATTCAATCTTTACATTATGGATGGCAAAATTTACACCTTGCTGTGTAATTCCTGCTCCCACTGTCTCTGTAAAGCACTCCTTTTCACCCACTCAAGCTTACCTGAGAAAGGCTGGTTGATTTCTGAGAGTGTAATACAAATCATCATCATCAATACTGTAATCACAGAGTACAGCTCCGTGTAACTTTATTTACTTACGCTATTTTTCTCTGCATTGTGGTTTCTCAAAAATGGATAGAAAGAGCCAAGTTGCATCCATCGCAAGCAGAGTTCATAGCTAGTATTATAGTTAAACCCACAGATACCAGCACCAATCTGAAGAAAAAACATCATTGGGTAACTGTTTGTGGTTGTGACTAAGACCCAAATGTGAGAAACTGCACAGGCTTATTAATACAATCACTTTAGGAAAGAGATACTTATTTCTGACCACTTTATAAGAATGCTGTATACAATGTAATGATATGAATTTTGCAGGGACTGATATTTTACTGGCTTCTACAGCATTAGAATCACTGTGAAAGATCTGATTGTATTTCAGTAATTTTACTGTTTCTCCCGTCCAGGTTGCAAAACTAGAAATATAAAGAGGGATCTCAATGATAAAATACATATTAAAAAGACATCTGCTTTAGGTAGCAGGCACTGATTTAATCTGAATCTAACACTGCTACTCTTGATTCTGTTTAGCTAGCCACGATTAGTGACATTTAGCTTTTTTTAAAATCTGCAGCTCCTTATGCTATGTGGGCCACGACTGCTGGCCATCTCAAGCAGCTTATTTCAGAAAACATGAGTTAATTTGAAGTGATACTGTATATTAGCCAGCAATTGCCTGAAAGACTTTAGACTTACATCTTACATAGGGAATCCCAAAGAGGTTAAATTCCAGAATTCCAATTATTGACTGGTGCATGTCTTTCCACTGTGAAAAGTTGTCACCGAGCCAGTGACCTCCGTGTTTCCCACGTCCGACGAACGTAGACTGACTTAAGACAAATGCTCATTTTCCAATTGCCATCTGAGTAGCGCCGGGGTAGGAAGCAACAAGATCATTAAAGAGAAGACCAGTAGCCAAAAAAGGCCAAGTTATAAACCTGAAACTTCAGACACAATTTTATTTGAGGTGGTGTTATTCTTGAAACAATTATTGTTCTGGTTCACGGCCACTCTGAGTCAAGAAAAAACACAGAACAAAACTGCAAATAATGGAAAGTCTTACTGACCATAAAAAACTAAAATCTATCTGATCCACAAAAACAGTTTGTTTCAGGTATTTTTAGGCTTCCTAAGAACTAATTTGCTCTTAATTTATTCCTTTCTATATTAGCATGTTTAATTTAGTGTACTGTTGTTTCCTAAAAACAAATACAATATACAATTTTTGTCAGTATAGGATATTTTAGAGATACACATTGGCTAACAAAGTCCTAATATCCTGAAATTAAAAGTTAAAAAGTAAACTATAGGTTTCAAATTAATTTAGAATGCAAACATTCAATTATTCAAAATATCACCCCCATCCTTTTAGTATTTCTTCTGATTTCCTGTCATTTTTTGATTTATGAAGTTTCTTTACAGACTTAGTGGTGTAATGAATTTTTCCTTGCATTTTGAAAACAATGCTGCATCACTAGAACATCAGAGAAACAGAATATATCTTACTAACAAATTTATTACAAATTTCCTCAACTTAGGAGAATCTCCATACAAGATTACATGTTACAATGTTTTATTTAAGTATCCAAGATTTAATTGAAACTTTGCCTGCCAGGAGCTGAATACAAATCAGAGAAGGTCAGGAACTCAAATTCAACTCTGTTTCAGTAGGATCTGGGCAACCAAACTCCTTAGGTTCTCTGGGAAATCCTAGCCTGAAATATTAATCGCATTGCTCACCGTCCACCTCCTGTCCCTTTCTCTTAACAAGATGTGCTCAAGAGCTCTTTCATCCATGTTCACAGTGACCAATATTTACTATTAGCTCTGTAACGGCACAAAGCCTTTGAAACGCTTCAGCACTTGTTTCCAAAGCAAAGACACCCACCAGCTTTCGTATGAGCCAATGCACGTTAAGCTTTCAGGTCATAAATGGCAAGAGGTTCAGTTCCTGAAATATGCAGGGGCCTATTCCATTGTGCCTTGCAGGGGAGTACCCCAGGTAGTAACCTGGCCTCACACTGCGTGAGGATCCCCGTTCCTTCTACAAATGGCTTTTTGGAGTACTGCAGGGACAGGAATCTCTTTTCTCTGAACCTTTGCATTGGTGTCATGCGTGACTCTTCCTCTGGCCGGACAGCACAAGGTTTTGACTCGATTTGCAAATTCAGGTGCTCATGAGGGCAATATTGGAAAACCACGATCCAGAGCTGCGTAACCAATTTGTAATAAATAATTTATTGAATAAATTTTAATCTATTGTAAATCATTGCTGAACAGGTCCTAATGTTCTCAAATCTATTTGTTGATTACAATTATTCACAGAATATTACATGTGAACAGTTCTTGGCTTTACGCTCTGCACAAGCTGATTGTTGCTAGTTTACTGTATCCAAATCCCAGCCATTTAACTGTGTACATGGGTCAGATGACACATTTCCCATTCTCCAGCTGCATTAGCATAATTCTTAGAATTGCTTTTTATGCGATTATGAACTTGTCATTTGTTTTCAGCCAATATCCTGCAATTGATGCTGGTTCACTAAATATTCCTGCCAGTAATTTCATTTACTATATTATCTGTGAAGAGCAAATGCAGAAAGAGTATACAAACAGCCTTGAAAAGAAATGTGTTTGAGAAAACCAAACGAACACGTATGAAAAATTCTTCACAGAAATTTCCCCACTCTGCTGCAAATCCTGCCTCTGCTTATGCTTTTAGGTGCATTCTGCAGCCTTCAAGGACTCTCTCAGTTTGGCTGACTAAAACATGAATTTCTCTTGTGAGCAGCTCTGCAGACCAGTGTCCCAGGAGTGGGTAAGAAAGACCCAGTGACCTGGGGGAGTCTGATGAACCTGAAAAGAGCCAGACAGCCATAAATATGTAACCTGAGGGCCAGTCCCATTCCCCAAGGGAAATTGTCACCTTGCCCCCAAAAAGATGAATTTGAAGTTTTTCACAATGGTGCTAAGGAATTGGAAAACGCACCTTTAGCTCCTGGCGTAGGCCACAGCCAGTCTGGTGTCCAGAGAGTTTGCAGGTCAGAGGCCTTCTGGTTCTTCTTGAAAGCCGGGCTGCCCTCCAGCCAGACGTACAAGAGCTGGCAAACTGCCGCTGCTCTGTACCTAACGTTTCCCTTTCCTCCGCCTCAACATATAAAATGCAAGTGTATCAACACCTTAAAAAGGCACACTTGGCCATGTCCTCTGGATGCTAGCACACTGCAGCTAGTGAAAATGAGTGTTAAATACCAGAATTAGCTGGCACATGAACCCCTGCTTTGGCGCTTACGTTGAGCTATTAAACACATCCACGTTTTAGCTCAGTCTCTGCTGGAAAAAGTCTGATTTACCCGTTTGATTTAATCAAATAGCTAGCTTTTCACTGTCACTCTAGCTTCACTGCAACGGAGCCTGCTTGAGCAAGCTAGTTTTGAGGGATCCCCAGCTGCAAAATGACAGTTTTACAGTAGCCAGCATGAAGTGCGCTCAGCCCATCCTGGACTGACAGAGGCCTAGGCGAAAATGCAAAACACTGTCTGCCTGCAAGCTGAGGCAGCTCCAGAGCATCCGGGG